CTGAGTGTTTAAATGGGAGCTGCAGGAATGTTTGGGGGAACTGCGTGTGTCAGTGTAGGTGTCAGTATGTACAAACAAATGTATAATCACACCTTTTTAATAGATATTTACATTTCATAGTTGGAAAAACTGTTGCTCAGCCATCAGAGGGATGCTGCTTGCCTTATATACCCACTCAGGTGGACACCTGTCTCTGAACAGTGATAGTAGCATCCGGTTTTATCAAAAACAAAGTAAATAAATTAGCAGCAAACTAACCCTACACTGTAGAACACACTATGTAAATTTTACTGAATATTATTTTACATGTATTTCTTATTGCTGCCAGTCAGAAGAGGATGAGACCTACTCTTGATTGGGGATGGCTTTTTCCTGAGTTTAAATAATAGTCTCTTGGGTGTGTTTTTAATAGTGTAGTGCTACAAATAATATACTAACATAACTCTAAGTATAGTGATACTCTGAGATCCCTAATCCCTGGGTACTGGTAGAGCCCTTGGCCAAGAATGTGTCTCTGCCCTCCTTCTGGTCAGTTTTCTTTTGTCATCTTTCTCACTCTCTCCCTTGATCCCGTAGTCATTTGTGGTGCTTTACGTCCACCTGGTTAATTCATATCAGCACTAATATACTAACCAATTCTAATGCAGAATTGGTCAAAGCTTTAATGTTGAATTAAAAAGGCTTTTACGAAGTATTTCTTTAGCTCTGTTTTATGTCCTTCGCTTCCTCATCTTCTGTACTGTCAGTTGCTCTGTTTCAGAATGCTGCGTTCTTACTGTTTTAACTGACTTGTATATGGGGATCCTGTATGGTCATCACAAACTGTACTTACCCTAGAGTTACAGATTTGCAAAAGTTAGAATTCCACTTGCTAACCACCTTATTCTATATGAGGAAGGATGTGGTCTGATATCTTTGGGTTCAAAATTGTATCATTCTAATATGGTAGCAATGGTTCTTTAAAAACATAGGCATATCCTCACAATTTAAAAAAAAAGGGAAATTGCCAGGAGTTAGAGCTATCACAGGGCTTTATAAAAACGTGAGACTTCAACTGAGGCTTGAAGCATAAAATGCATATGAATGAATGAAAAAACGAATAACATTACAGACCAGAAGAAATAATTAAGAGAAGACTTAGGAGCAAATGAGGGGATTGGTAAGGGATAGGAATTTTTCCAAGAAGATTTGGGCTAGGTTGTGGAAGATTTTAGAAATTAGACTGATTATGAAGTAGAATTGAGTAGAAACAGGAGCTATTAAAATATTTTTGAGCAAGGATATAACATAGAAACAGTTGCTTAAGGGATATGTATTCGGTGAAATGTACTTCAGTGAGTCAGGAAATCTGAGCTTTATTGTTCTCTATATGTGAGCTGAAATGGGCTTTTATTTGAGGGAGAGGAAAGTGTTAGGAATGAGAGGCAATTTATAGGAAAATTATGGAACTTAGTTTCTACCATGAAATGAAATTCTGAGAAGGATGTTTGAATTCTGATTATTAGGAACCAGAGAGAGGCACTCAAGTTGGAAGGAAGAATTCTTTTGAGGAGATAGAAGGAAGAAATATCAAAGAATGTCAGTTTTATGTGCCAGATCTATTTCCTTTTGATTTGTAATTTTCTTAGCAAAAGGGGTATAAAGTATGTTCATTTTTCCAGATGAGGGAAAAAGACACTTAGAGATGTTACAAAAGATTCTCAAAGACCCACAATAAATTAAGTTTGAGTAAGTAGAGGCAGCAGGATCCACATCCAGGCCTGTCTGTCCCAGGCCGGTTCTCTCACCAACGACTGGAGGAAGTGTTTGCCCCCACTGCCCTCTGACTAGTTCCTTACTTACGGGGCTGTGTGTTCATTATGTGCCCCCTGCACCGAGGACTTGAGGGCAAACGCTCTGTGCTGCTCGTGGTTGTATCCGTGGAACTTAGAACTGTGCAAAGCAAATGGTAGGCATTCAGTAAATGAGCGTTTAACCTACAGAAACAAAGGAACAAGAAAAACTAGTCACAGAGCTGGCAGTAGAGACAACTTCTCCACTCACATTTCCCTTATTAGTCACAGCTGACCACAGTCCCTTTTCTTGGTTTTCTGAAACACCGCATGTGTCCAAACATCCCCACCAGTATACAAAATGAGTAATAGTGCTCAGTGTGAGAAGTGTGTGCGGCCAGTGGCTACTCCATAAGATGCTTTCTTCTAGAAAATGCTGACACGGTCTAAAAGATACCAAGAAAAACCTGCTGAGAAGTGACTTTTTATTTTTCTCCACTTTCTTAACTACCATCCCTCTAAAATAATAATAGTGGAAAGAGTAAATCTGGTTAACCTTAGTGTTACCTCCCAGCTCTCATGATCCCTTCCTAAGACCCAGTAATGTGCGTGTCTGCTTGACGTTTGCTTTCAGTTTACTCTTGATTTTATATACTATTGTCGAATTTTATTTTCCTCCTTATTAGTAATTGGCACTTGACTATATTCATAGTGGTCAAAGCACAAAGATAGGTTTTTGAATCATGGCCTGATATCCTCCTCTCGGCCCCCAAAGAATGTTATGGCCTTCAAAGTGTTTGTTTTGCATGTAGAATATGATGACACTCATTGCTTCTTAATAACCTGGTGCACCAGAGACCACTGTCCTTTGAGTTCCGATACATGTTTTTATAACAGTGCATACTATGTTTAGCCAATGTACTACATACAAAGATTTTACTGCCCTATTGACTGTGATACTGATAAATGAGCCAGTTTCTTCTATCCTGAAAAACTTAAGTGGAAGGAAGTTCAGATGCTTTTTCTCTTTGCATACAACATCTGCACAGAGTTTACCAGTGATAGCTTTCATTTTTTTATTATCATATTCCACAAGTTCTTTGTACATCATTTTCTTCCTGTGATTGCAAGGCTGATCATGTGTTTCTGAGGCTTCTGTATAATAAAACATATTCTCTGTCATTCAGAACTCTTCATTTTGTTGCATGTGATGAACTATGTGTGTGTATATGAAATAATAGTTAACATTTATTATAAACTTACAATATACCTAGGTAGTATAATGACTATTTTATGTGTGTCATCTCAGATAATTCAGTAATCTTAGGAAATAAGAGTTTATCACTATCCTCTTTTCCTTTTAATACTACACTTTGTTTTTAGAGCAGTTTTAGGTCTACAAAAAAATTGAGCACACATAAAGACTTCCCATAAACTCCCTTACCCCCCTATCACCCTACACATGGTAGTTTCCCTATTATTATTATCAGCTTATGTCAGTGGTGTGCATTTACTACAATCCACGAGCCAATACTGCAACATTATTTTTAAATTATATGCTTTACATTAAGGTTCACTCTTGGTGTTATGTATTCTATGGATTTTGACAAATGTATAATAGCATGTACCCACTATTAAAATCTCATACAGAATAATTTCACTGCCCTAAAAAATCCCCTGTGCTCCACCTATCCTTTTTTCTGTAATAGAGAAAATTACAGCTAAGAGATTAAATAATTTTCAAAGGATCATAGCTGCATAAATATGGGCGTTGTTTGGTCTGCCTAGAATCTATGCTCTTAACTTATATGTTAGACTGCCTGATTCATTACAGTTATGTAAGCAGGGAATCTTAACTTGGTAAGATTCTTGCTAATTCTTTCTAACTTCATGAAAATATGATATGTGTCAGAAGCAGCTTGTGTGTTCCTTTTTTCCTTTGAAGTTAAAATGCTGTGAGAAATACTGCAGGGAGTTAAATTTCTAATTATTGGCTATTTGGTAACACAAGTTATGTATTATTGGCTTGAGGAGCATTACTAAAAATGAAAGAAGAAATGAAGAAGTCCGTTGTCTGGTCTTTCAGTTAGCACATAGTTATAGGCAGGGGAGGCCATGGGCTAGGTCTGTCCTGCTAGGGTGATGGGTGGACAAAGGGTGTGGCACCAGTGAATCTTTTAAGTGAGTGGATGAACAAGAAGGAAGGAAGTATGGCGAAATGAATCAAAGTCGCGTGGAATGTAGATGACCTTTGGGGGATTTATCTCCCTAACAATGATTTTTAAAACATCTGGAGAGAGAAAGAAGGAAAAAAAAATCACCTGAAGTTCATGTGGTATATTGATTAGTAGGCACAAGCAGATAAGATTGTCTCTCTTTGCTCATGACACCACCTGGTACTTTTCTGCCACTCACAGTCAGCACAGACCTTCCCTCCAACCTTGCAGGACAAGGCATAACTACTTCAGGAAAGTTCTCCTAGGGGCTCTTCTCCTACCCCAAGCCACCACTTTATGTTACTCTGTAAGCAGTTTGGGGTCAGAAACTGTAACTCGGTAACAACAGAAAAATCAGTTTATTGCATATAAGCCTTTCTCCCTATTTTTTGCTTATTTTCTTCTGAGGATGATAGTAACGTTTACTTAAAACTATAGCTAGGAAGATCTTCCTTTAGATTAAATCCTGGTTTAGGAATATTTTAGTCCTGAATGACAGCAGCACCGATAAGCCATAGTTGCTTGAGATTCAACAAATTGTGACCTAGTTTCTCTGCATATAAAGAGAGCCATTAAGACAAAATGATCTCAAAAGCTAAAATGCTCAAAATTCTTTAAAAGGATGAAGGAGTGAAGAGAAAACAAACTGAAGGGAGAACATGAAAATGATGTTTCCCACCATTCCTTAAAACTATCTTATCTTTTTGGTTTCTCTGAAACCACCTGTTCCACTTTTTTCCCCTCGCCCTCCTGGCCTCTTCTCTTGAATCTCTTGGATGAACTCACTGTCACTGTCTGTTCTTCTCATCTTGGAGTTTCTGGATTCTGACTCAAGTCTTCTCTTTCAGCATATTCTCCCTAATCATTTTCATTTAGATAAATGTACCCCTCCCCCCCTTTTTTTTTTGATGATGATGACCAAGTAGATCCTTAGGCTACTTCATTAGGGCCCAGGAGGTAAGGAATCCTACCTGATCCGCTACTGAATCATCCATTTTCTCTGTTTTTCAAGGGTCGTAAGAGTGAGGCTGAAAAGTTCTTCTTGAAGGCTATTGAGCTGGATCCCACCAAAGGAAACTGTTACATGCACTATGGTGAGTGGTTACTAGTTTTTTTCCAATGGCCCCCTCATTTACTATTAATGCTGATGAGAGATCCGGGGTTTGCTGGCAAAGACCATTTTGAGAGGACCCTGACTTTATGGTTACAGATTGAGCCTCGTGCAAATAGTCTTACCTTCTCACTCAAAGGGTAACAAGGGCCCCGTGTTGTGTTTTCCTGGAGTCATTTTCCTAGGACATCAGTGCAGAAAGGCATTCTCACAGTTGTTTCTTTCAAGTTCAGTTTGGAATATAACTGATGTCTCATCAGGAAAGCATCTCACCTCTTGCCTGATGCAAAGTATATAATCAAAATATTAGCTCTCTTTTCATGCTAAATGATAATGTATTGCACATCGAATGTGTACCATTTTGAAGTTTTAGAGGTTTCAGTGTGGCCTCAAAGTCTGGCTTACCGGAAGATATGGTGATATCCCCGCCTCTAAATGCCTGAGATTATTGGGGTCAAGGATAAACTGTAAAGGGTATAAAGGATATCTCTCTCATTCAGTTTAGAGTTGGCCTTAATCAGTGTAGAATGAACTTACATAACAACTCTGTCACTTTCCACTCTGTCATTAAGTGAGTCATCTGTTAAATGAGGTAAAGTATATATCTAGTTTAGTGTTGGGTAAGATATGCTTATTTCTACCAGATTTGCAGTTGGAATGCATTTCAAAAAGCCAAAAAGCATTTATTTTTGCCTATCCTGTGGGGAAAAAGAATGTTTTGGCCACTATTGGCCTTGATGTGTTAGTTTTTATTAAGTAGTAAACTTAAAGGTGGATAGAGACTGAAACTGAGAAAATAAAGCTAATATGCTTGTATAATATTTAATTCTTTCTTCCATTTGCCAACTAGTAAAAATAAATCGGTGACAGACGGTGAATGTGGAAAAATGAAAATAATGAAATGGAGGACACACTTAAGCAAACACAAATCCATTTGTTTATTTACATTGTGTGTCTATGTTCTTGAACCTCGCCTTGCATAACTTTCCAGCATAACACAACATGTAACTGCACACAGCCTATTGCATAAGCGCTCCTGATTTTGTTTCACAATGCAGTTTTACTGTCCTGCTAAGATAGCAGGTAACTGTTTAAGCTTGCTGGTTTGCTGCAGGATTTTTTTAAAAATGTTTATAGGTTTTCTTATATGAAGTATTTTAAATTAGGATTTTCTCATGCATACTGTTTTGAGTACTCATACTGTGCATTAAAGTAGTTCCATGATTACTTTCCCTGAGTGCTAAAGGACCCCTTCTCATTGCATTTTATAAAGTAGAATTTTTTTCCTGTCTTGCTATCTGCATCTCCTTTACCTCAAATTAATTCTGCTTACTCTATCTCTTAAGCTTATTTCCCATCATTTTATTATATGCTTTCAGTTTTTCAGTCAATTCCTTTAACTTCATCATTGGTTCATTTGAATTGCAATTGGAAAAATCACTGTTGTGTTAATTTTAATAGCTAGTCCCCTTGTTATTTTGGCTTGTCTGTCTTTACCTACTTCTTCCTCCCTCCCTCCCCGCCCTCCCCCTTCCTTCCTTCCTCCCTCCTTCCCTCCCTCCTTCCTTTCTTCTATTTATTTTTGTATTACATCATTCTCCGGAAATCCCCCCCCCATGCCCACCAGTGATGGTGGTAGGAGGTATTTCTCTCCTGAGACATTTTTGGATTTAGTTTTAACAGAAAGTGCAGCAAATTCTTTATTGTGGAGGTTATTTGAAGACAGTGATAACATATGTTCAGTAAATATATGTGTAAAAATTGATTCTTCTCATTGCTCCTGGCTTATTTTAAAATTTTTGGCATGCATACTTTAGTAGAAGTACAGTTATTTTCTAAGGGAGGAATAAAAGTATAATTCAATGTAATTTTATAAAATAGTTTAAGTGTTTTTCCCCACTCTGCAGAGGGAAAGGAAAAGGACTCAGTATGAGGCATCAAAAAGGAGGAGCTGAGGCAAAATAATCTACAGACAGATAGGAAGCCCATAACCTTCTGAATGCTGGGTGTTCTTACTGCCCTGTGCTCAGGTTATAAGAAAATGTACATTCAATTTGGGGGATGTCTTCAAATGACTAAATTTTAGAACTGGAAAGTTCTTTTGAAATGATCTAATGCAATCCCTCTGTTGTACAAATAAGTAGATTGAAGCCTAGAGAAATGAAGTTGATTTGTGCACATTAGTTGAAAATAACTAAATGTTAGACCCCTTGATAACTGTCATTGCTTTTTTCTTCTATTATATATATTCCATTTCTTTTCACAACATTGGGAGATAGAAAAACAGATACAGATAGGTAGGTAGATGCTTTTGATTGGTAGGTTCTTCTATGCAGTTTTAAAATGTCAGATTAATAAATCATGACAGCTTAAAATTGTTAGGGAAGGATTTTTATTAATTTTAGTATGTATAAGATGTATCAGGCAGGTGCAAGGCACTGTTCTGTTTCAGAAAGTGAGCTGCACTATGTAGTAAATAAATAGGATGATACTCTTGAAGCCAAGCAGTCAGGTCAAACATTAGTAAGGAGACAGTATTTGAAATCTGTAAGATTAAGCCAGCTTTTAAAGAACTAGCTAAGAACATTTCAGACAGAAGAAAGAGAAAGTTCAAATGTCACAGACAAGAACAAGCCTGTGTTCACAGCAGAGAAGGAAGGCTAATGTGAGTGGAGTACTGAACCCGACGAGGAAGTGGGGCAAGGTGATCCTGGGGAGAAAGCAGAGATGGAGCCCATGGGGCTTTGTGGACTCAAGAGTTTCCATTTCTTCTAAGAGCAATGGACAGGATTATGTAGAAAAGACATGATTAGAAAAAAAGTCAGCAGAGAGCAAGGGGAACTCCATTGCTATGTTTTAGGTAAGAGATGATGTTGGCTTAGACTTAGAAGTGGTTATGGGAATGTCAATACTTATATTGAAATTATACACTTACCTTCTTTAGAAAATTCTAAGATAATTAACAGGGAGAACATGTTTTCTATTTTTGTATTACCAATATCTAGTGTATATCGCCATACTCAAAATAATGCGCAGTAAATGTTTGTTGAGCTCAGTTATGAATATTCTCCATCTTAGAACTGAGGGTAGGTTTTAAATGGACTGAAAAGTTGTTCTGTCAAAATTTTCATTTTGTCCAAGAAGATAACATACTATGATTCCTATGTGAGTTCTTTGCCATCTTATTAGTTACAGATAGTCTTAGGGTATTTATACTCATGGATTGAATGAAGATAACCCTTCCTCAGCTTAGAAATAAAAGTTTAAATAAAATTAGCCATATTCTTTTGAGACTTCTTTTTCTTTTTGTAATGCTTTTGCAAGTGCCAATGAAAATGCCAGAGTGGGTGAGGTTTGTTCGACTGGAAATTCACTCTCTTGAGTGATTATGTGCTTTTGGTTTGCTTGTTAATGATACAAATGACTTTTAAAATACCATCCAGTTGGTACTAGACAAAGGGAATTATAGGAATTTATATTGACTGCAGTGGCAATTAGCAAGCAGTATTTAAAAGTTCTGCCAGTTGTTTGTATTTTTAATGTACTTGGTTTTATGTCTCAGGAAAAAGGATTGCTTTGCACATCACATTTTTTCTTCAAGTTGGTTTGCAAGAAAGGAAGTTAGGTTTATAAAACTGACTCAATACGCTAACTAAATGTAGGGCTCTCTGGTACTTATATCATAGTCTCTGGGATTAAGATTTCTCATTTTTAAAGTCAAGGCTTTTAAAATGTTTTCCAGTATTCAGATTTCATGTTGTTGCTGAACATATACTCAGTTTCTCACTGATCTTGCTTCAAAAATTTTAAGGAATGTTTAGAAAATATGTCATCCACTTGCCAGTGTCATTCCCATGTCCGTGTGAAACAAACTATGTGTAGTCTTCATTGAATTTAGTTTGCAAATGTCAAAGGTGAATATTGGTGACTTGATGTCTTACATGGGCCTGTAATTCAAAGGATTCTCCATTGATTTCCCTATGGCTCCAATAGAGAGCTTCTGCAAAAATAGAAAAAAAATTAAAAAGGATAAAAGTCAAGACAAGAGTCCCTTTTTGTTTGTTTCTTTTTTAAAGATTATTAGCAAAAAAAATGTCAGAATATATTATAATTGTTTTCTTTACATGCATAGCAGTAAATTTGATGTAGCTGGGAAAAAATTAATACATTTGTTATGAGGTAGCTACTATTCTAAATCTGGGTATGTGGGAATTCACTACATATTAAGGACAAAAGCAGAAAAAGCTAAAAGGGAGTAGATTGTGATAAATGCTGTTGAGAAGAAGTACTCTTTATGTAGACCTTGGATGTTTTCTTCTTTTCCTGTCAAACTCTTACTTTGTGTTACTTTTCTAAGAGTAAAGATTTTAGCCTTGCTTTCTTCTTTAGATGTACTCTCTGTGGGTGATGGTGTTCATTTCCAGAGATTCAGCTATATAGAGACAAGTACTGAACCTCTTCCTCTAGCACCAGTCCTGATGTAGGGACGTCACAGAACAAGAAGGGCTCCAGTGTGGCTTGCATACTGGAGAGAGAGGCACAAATTATTAAAAGAATGATTTAATTGTCATTAAAATGGGTTTTAAAAAGGAGACTGTATAATGAAGGGGCCTTGATCTTGGGGTGCTGGGGTGCAGGAGAGCTATGCCCGATGAGCCGACGCATGAGGTGTATTTGAATGAAGTGTAGGAGTTCACTGGACAAAAGTGTAGAAATGAGGGGTGCAAAGGAGAACCTTAAAGCAGGGAAAAGGCTTTAGGCAGAATGCACAGCACATGTCTAGGGAATAGTTCAAGGGCAGAACTGGGACCATAGCTGGAAGTTATGGAAAGATGCATTCTGGCTCCATAGAAGGAGGAACATCCGAATTATGAGATCTGCCATGCTACAAAAGGAGTGCTCATTGAAGATTTTTCAAGTGTGGGTTTATTAGGATGTGAGCACGAATTTAAGCATTGGGAATGGGGAAAGGGCTGCAGACTT